AACTAGTTGAGGTTTTTTAGTACATATAGAGCAGAAATCAATATATTCCCTGTGTTACATTTGCCGTCCATGTAATGCCCCAAACAGGACAACACTTATGTCAGTGACATCACAAAAATGGTCATAATCTGCTTTGAATCTAAAGAAGACAACGCCATAAACAACAATAACACGTCGAATATGTTCTGAGACTGCATTTCAAAATGTTAAAACAATAAACAACAACTTACCCACACATTGAGCTTTTGTCGGAGAGGCACTTTTTAAGGAAACTGGCGAATCGGGGGAGAAGCAATTTCACTGTGAGACTCGGGGAATTCCCATAACCCAGTGAAATGGCCTGTACTGTATAGTCTGAACAGAACCGGGTGTGTGTCCAACTGTGCGGTTCCTTCGTGCACCAACAACACGACTCATGGAAAAATAATTAATAACAAGTCAATATTGTATTTGTTATAATCTGAACATCAGGTTGCAGTATGCACACCACACTGTATACATCAGAGCAACCAAATGGTCAGAGTGACTCGAGGAGGCCACAAAAACTACAGAGCACCATTAAGAAAAATTTGCATATGACTTCTAATATATACCAGCTTGTATTTATAGTAAAGTAAATGGTTTATGTGTATAATCACATCTCGCTGCTGTGAGACTGAGAAACTGCAACTAAAAACTAAAGCAACACCCATAGTTCACTCTGACATAACAGCTAGTCTGTTTAGTTCACGCTGTTCTGAACAACACCGCAGCACAAAGTTCCCCCAGCCATCAAAAAGGGAAATTCAAAGAAGTGTATGTTTTGACATCCACTGACTTATTAACAATGTGCCACTGGAGTTATCTCGTGAATCTTTTATAATCAACAGTAAATAGAGCAATTTCAGGTTGGGTGTAACAATAAAACCAGTGTGTGTGTGTGTGTGACTGCTGCAGACTTTGTTGCCTTGGATCTTTGGCATAGTGCAGGGGATTTCCTTGCCACATACGTTTTTTTTCCCTTTCCTCTTTTAACTCAAAGATGGCCTGACAACAGCTGCACTCACACATGCACAATGAACTGAGACACGATTAGAGGAGACAGCTGTGGTATACTTCTTCTTCTCCGCAATCAACAAGTTTGCAAGACCAAATGTGACACATTAAATTAAGTGTAATAATACTTAGATGTATAAACCACATCACAATACTTCTATGCATAAATGAAATATTTCATCTTCGATCATTTAAATGTATAGGTGTTTAGATGACTGATTTGATAATTGAACATTAGGGCTTTTTTTTATATTAAACATGAATGAGGAAAGAGAAAAGACAACATTGTTTGATTTTATTTATTTATCTGATACCTTAAAATCAAAGTAATCATTGGATGGCCAACCACCTAAAGGCACTGCTTGAGTTTTTCTTTTCTCATTTGCTGTTCATGTGAAGCTCCTTTTATGCTTATGTGGACATTTAAAAGTTACATATGACTTTGTAAAAAAAATAAAACAGAAACCATCGTCCAGACAGGTGGGACGATCAGACACGAGAGCAGAAAACTGGCATTAAGGGTCTGGGATGGGAGGTCATAGGCCACCTGGTTTGGCTGAGGAGTGGCAGTAGCTGGGTACAAATAAGATGCTGACGTTTACCGCCACAGTTTCACTCCGCGATCACTCTTTTAGTCTTGTGGTTTGTCACCGAAGTCTGCGTACAGAGCTGCAGGGATGTCACGAGTTTAATCTTCCCCTCCGCAGAGCACCAGCAGCGTTTTACGGTAGTCTCCAGAGGTGTCACCCTGAAACAGAGATGACAAAAACACACACACACGCGGGATCTTAAATTCATGGAAAATACTACGTTCATACCTCTGCTCATGACATTCGATTTAAAACCAGAGCCTAAACCAAAAGCCAGGTTTTACTTCTCCCTCTCACACAACAGCAGAACTCTTAACTTCACTGATACTGAAAAGAATGAGAGTCAT